ATGTTCAACCATATATTACTTTTGCTTTCTTGTAGCAGTATTTCCACTAGTTGTGCTTATATGTGCTTAGTATGTACGTAGAAGTTTTCTCTACTACTATGGTATGTATAATGAAGAGAAGAGCACCAATAAAATAGAAAATTAAGAAAAATTTCAACAAAATTTGAATACTTGTGTTTTTGTATTTATTTAACCATCCTAATCGCCGTTAAGTGCATGGGTGAGAGAAATCAATTAAACTATCATGCACCGATTGCTACAGGTGAGATTTCTAAGCTCACTCTATAGAGGGCGCAACGAATCCGGAAGTGTTATCGGAAAATTTCCTTAAAACAACCAGCGATGTCGGCGGGTGGCGGGTATGTTTTACCGATTTGTATCATTTGTTCGTAATGTATATTCAACTTGCTCAAGGTTGAGACTAAATAACTGAAGCTAAAAAGTCGTTTTTGCTTAACAAACCACACTGACGATGGGTCGAACAAAACAGTTCATTTCAACGATGCTTCATCTGTCACTATTTTAAAAAACACTACCGGTAGATTATCGGGAAACCTTACCTTTAAGTCAAGGTCTAAGGCTTTAGGCACACCATTCAAAGTTTAATATATATCTATGTTCCCTAGTCATGAGTTATAATACAGTCAGTTAACTCGAATGTGACGTAAACTATGTTAGTACGTATATGTGGAGATCTATTTACATGTATGTATCATGCTGACGCTAAATCCTGTCAGTTTTTGAAAACGAAAGTACCCAAAATTTCCAACTGCATTCAATGCTAGTGGGCATATGTATGCTCTACCGTTCAGTTTTATGCATGTTATACATATTTTTGTGCAGAAAGGATACATTTTTGATATTTTTCTTTATTTTCAGAGACAGCACTTGCGACGTGCAGTGGCAGTACGATTTTAATCATGGCAAAAGAGGAAAAGCAATAATATTAAACCACATGGAATATGATCCAAAAACTAAAATTCAAAAAAGACTTGGTACACTTGCACTTTTTTCTTTTGACATTTAAACTTAGAAAGGTTTCAGCTGTAAGAAATAGTATAAGCTGGAGGATTTCTTGCTGATATTTACCTTGTATTCCTTTTTTCTTTTACACATTTTAATTAAAAATTGCGGTGTGACTGAAATGCGCAATACACCGCAATACAGCGCAACACAGTGCAATACACTTCAAAAATCAAATCCAGTTGCAATTACACAAAAGAAATGACCATTCCCAGCAAAGCAGGGTGATATAAAAACAACCTATATTACTAGGTAAATATAATATCGTTGATATAACTTAACAAATCAGCAAGACTTTTATATTGTCCGGTTGGCAGCCATGTTGGCGAGTGGCTCTTCTTGGATATATTACTGGCCAAGAAGAGCTACTCGCCAACATGGCGGCTGACCAAACAATGAAAAAATTGTCAAGTTGTATCACCAATATTAATTACTATGTACTATATTTTGCTTTTATATCACCCTATTTTATTTGAGATTACCCTTTCCTGTGTTTATTTGCAATTGGACTTGTGTTATCAAGTGTGTTGCGCTGTATTGCAGTGTATTGCGCATTTCAGTCACACCTTAAAAATTTCAACTACATGTACATGTATATATAGAAATGTAAGATTATAAAGTGTATACAAAATAGTATTTTTAAAAACACAGGTTTGCACAGTTGTTTCCTCATGGATTCCATTTGACTCAGGTTTTCAGATACTGCTGGAAATACGCCTTTTTAGCAGGGTGATTTTACTCCTTTCAGCTTCTATTTGTGATGCCAACATATTGGTGGAAACCTTCAAGAAGTTAGGTTTTGCAGAAGATGATATTCACATCTATCATGGAATACATGTGCAGCCAGGGTCAGATTCACTCATAGCTAAGGCAAATGGGTCTGGTATGCATATTTGAATTGATTTATTTATTTTTCATGTGTGTGTTCAAGTTTACCTGTACCTGAATAAAGTGACCAACAGCATGTTGAATGCTTATTGATGAGGACATGTGTACAAGTAACTGTCACCTAAATATTAAACTCTGGGGAGATCGTTTTGTAGCAAAACAACTTTTCAGTAATAATATAACTTCATGGGTGTCTTTGAGTTACTAAAATGTGTTTGAAGCAATACTTCATATTTTTCTTCCAAAATTTTTATGTCTTGTATTTTAGAGAAAGATACCTCTGTTGCTTATGAAGAACGTCAGAAGGCCTTCCAGGCAGTACTTAAACAGAAGAAAATTCTTCCAGAAAACATCAAGTTTTACAAAGGTTCAAAATTAACTCAGTTAACTTCAACAGAAACACTGAAGATTATTGAAGAAGGTAAAGAACAGAGCCAGTGTGGATATGGTTAATTTCAGATCAATTTATAGTTATATGATCATTTTAACTTCAGCATAAACATAGCTTGTTAGCCTTGTTTTATAGCTACTACTTCCTTTAGCGAAGGTCATCTGATATTGTAAGAAATTATCAGACTGTAAGTAACACTTGTATTTGCTTCTTATCGCCTTGTGACACAATACTTATCTAAAACACACTACTGTGTTACATTGTTGTGTCTTTACACAATGTCCAGGGCCAAAAATATATATCTATTTATGTAATGAATAAGCAGATGACCATGCCATTGTCATTGTTTTATTGAAGTTTAAGTAGAGTGCTTGAGTGTTTTCCTGGCTTTTGGGCTTGCACTCCTTTTGCCTTTATTTGTTGGTCTTATGCACATTTATTTTAAAGTCAGTTTGTTTTTTTAAGTTAGTGTATATTTTTTTATGTTAATACTTACTTTATAATATTTATTCATAGTCCTAGCTCTATCTGTACTACTTCAACCTTTTGGTTGCAATATTTCAAATAAACATTATTATTATTATTATTATTATTATTATTATTATTATTATTATTATAACATTCATTAAATGAAGATCACTGTAGGATGGATATATGATAAAGATTAGTTAATGTTAAAGATATAGCATAGGTTGTTGAAGGAAATAAGATTAAATATCACGCTGGAAAGTAAAATTCCTTGAATTCAAGTTTCCATTGTGTGAATCCATATTGTCAGGTTTGGGAAGATGTTTCACAGTAGTTTATTTTACTTACCTTATGCAGATTTGTTCGTTCTTCACACTATTTTTCTGTTTTAATTGAATTTTTGAACTAAGGATGCTTTTGGCAAGTGTTCCCCATTTTTTTCTATTATAGTTTTTGGAGAAAATATGGAAAAAAACTTTTCTTAAGCATATTCATATTTACATTTCAGCTGCAAAAGATGAAAAATACAACGAAGACGCTGACTGCATTGTGTTTGCAGTACTTTCTCATGGAGATGAGGTCCCAGATGCGTCAGATGATTCAGTTCTCCAGGGACTCATTCATTGCTATGATGGTCTTCTTCATATTGAAATGTTTATGCAACCACTGCGAGACGACACATGCTTATCACTAAAAGGAAAGCCAAAGTTGTTTTTCATACAGGTAATGAAAACAAGCTGGGAGTCCTCAATTTTTTCAACACTCAGGGTCATGGTTATTGTCTAATGTGTAGCCAGTCTTTGTTTCTTCTTGTGTATGTGTGTACTTGTATGTGTCTCGGCTTAGGCTCAAATTGAGGTGTATTTCTTAGACCAGATTCAGATCTTAATATACAAAATATCTAAATGTCAAATTGTAAGTTCTAAGTTTATTCAAAAGCTTTGGTTTTGTCGATTTTTGATATCGTAGTCCATATTACTTTCTCAAAATTTGTGGATCATTTGTGTTTGTGATTGTGCATTGGAGAATGTGTAACACCGGTTACACTAACATATTGGTACAATATATAGAGTTTGTGTCACTAAAGTTTTTTTTTTTCAGGCATGTCGAGGGACTGGGCTTGATGATGGTGTTCTGGTCAAAGAAGATGCCCATTCAGGCAAAGTTTCAGCAGGCCCACCACGGACAATAACTTCTACCCCAGTAGAAATGAGAAACATCCCTGCATATAATAACTTCCTGACAGCTTACAGCACTCCTCCAGGTAAATCCCAGTGTATGATGCCAGGACCCTGGTCCAATAATATCTGGTGTAAAGTCTGCTTTAATTAACATGTGCAGGGATGGCAAGCGCAAAAGAAAGTTACCCCCTAGCAGTTTGAGGAGGCATGTCATTCATTTAAGCCAATTGTACTTATTGAGAGTCCCCGCTGGGCGGCCAAAAGGGCAAAAATTCATGTCGTCGATTCAGTTATGTTTCGTCGATTCACTGCCTTCCCATCGATTCAGTTTCAAGTTTAAACGATCCTGTCATAAATTCAACATCTACTTTCGTCAATTCAATTGTCAAACATTTCTCATCTATGGTGTATTAAAACCAATGCTGTCACTATTTTCGTCGATCGTGTAACTAATCTCGTCGATCGTCAAACTGTTTTCGTCGATCGTGTAACTATTCTCGTCGATCGTCTAATCTCGTCGATCGTGTAACTATTCTCATCGATCATCTCATCGATCGATCGCCAGAGGGCGCTGCGGTAGCAACACGTGCTTCTGTCTGTCAATCACGCGGTAATTTTTAACTCGGCCAGCCATGGTCAGAGTTAAGCACAACTAGAAAATAATGTCCCTACAACCGAATATCTTTTAATTATTAACAACTAAAATTGAAATTGTTGAGAAAATGTTCTTATTTCACTAGCAATCATTTTGTTGTCTGCCATTTTGATAGTCATGTGATAGGCCAATGTGCTACCGCAGCGCCCTCTGGCGATCGATCGATGAGACGATCGACGAGAATAGACGATCGATGAGAATAGTTACACGATCGACGAGATTAGACGATCGATGAGAATAGTTACACGATCGACGAGATTAGTTGGACGATCGACGAGATTAGACGATCGACGAGAATAGTTACACGATCGACGAAAA